TAAGACTGCAGATTCAAGAGCAAACCTGTGACCACTGTCCTGATGTAAACACATCTTTACTGACACATAATCCAAATTAGACACAGTCTTATCTAAGAACTGGGAAAAAGAGGGAAAATATTTCAGAACACCTAACAAAATGTCTAGATTCCCTAAGAGCTATAGAGCATCTGCAGTGATTAGATTTCTTGAAAATCTCTTTGCATCAGTCATCAAAATATGGTGACAAGAATACTCTATTTCATCTTGTGACAACTGCTGCAATTGCTGGTACTCTTTCAAAGATCTCTGGTACTCTAAAGTCTGAATGAGAAGACTATTGATAGTGAACCTGACCCACCGTAAAGCAGAATTTTTTCATTTGTGAAGAACTTGTAGAAAAAAATCTTCAAAATTAAGGGCATGAACTAATTTTTTACACAAATAGTAGAAATGATCTGACCTAGGTCATTACTCTGAAATAGTCCTCACTAAGGTTCAGTTTTATTAAACTCTGGAGGAGTCTCCTTTCTTTTCTTTTCAGGATGAGAAAGCATGCACTATAAATCTTTTTCTTCTCTGCTGCTGAGGTACAGATTTTATGGCTGCCTGTGACAGAGGATGATAATTTTCTGTCATAGCAGAATTTCATGAAAAGGGTGAATAGGTATATGAGAACAGTGCAGTAAATTGTATGGTGTAGCTCTTGCAGTTATAGGGTTCAAAACTCTAAGGCTACTATAAAAAGAACAGGAGGAAGAGGAGGTAGCAGTGGTAGAACACGTGATTTACCTTATTATGGTATGGTGCAGAGAATGGTATGGTGCTAGAAAATATTTTTTGTCCACAGAATAGGTAGAACTATTGGTGGTCTAAGTCCTGAAGGTAAATTGGCAATTTATAAGGACTCAGAAGCACAGTCTTTTGTCTAGAGAAACTGCATCTTCTTCAAGAAAAGATCAATAAAATTTCCAAAGGCCTCAAGTTTGAGTTCAAGACCTGAAATACTTTAACATATTATTAATATTTCATCTGCCTTTGTAGTGAAAGGAAAGAAATTTTCTTGAAACTAAATATTTAATTGACAGCTTAGAAGGTTGACTGAGAGCTTTGAGGGTTAAACAGGAATGACCAGAGCAGTGGATACTGTGTCAAAACAAACGCTGCACTGTTTTTTTCCTTGATTTTGCTCTTGGACTCAGAAATCATAGAAAAAGGCCTTGGAGTTTACAGATAGAGAGGACACGAATTCAGTTCATCCAAATGCTTATACTTTGAATAGATGAGGAAGAACCCTTACTTATATAGGCAAAAAAAGGAAAGCCAGGGATATCATCTCTTATCTATGAGATCCAGTTTGCATAACCTTTTCATAGACAGCTATTGTTTGCATGGAAGAAGAGATTAGAAGAGTGGGAAGATTTCTACACTCCTTGCTGGAGCCAGAAGTTCTCCCATGGCATGTAAAATTAAAACAAGAGAAAAGAAAGTACCAAAGGATCATAACATCCTGCTTAAGTCTCCTCAATGAGATAGGGGGTCTTTGCAGCTGTGTAAGGATGTCAAATGGCTTGTGAGCAGGCTCATTCAGATAGCCCCATATTCCAGAGTGAATTTTACTCTGACACATACCACTATGTGAGCAGCACAGAAGAGGTTTCTTCCTCGCATAATGATGTGCAAGAACAAGGTAGAGAATTGTAAATATGGTATAGAAGGGAAACAAAACCAAATTAAATATATGCTACATTTCCTTTCCAGTGAAACAAAACAGAAAACAACCCCAAATCCCTCCAGGAACTGTTAGCCTGAACAAACACATAACATCAAGCTAGAGTGCTACACCTTAAGATATTGCAAATTACTGCAGATAACTAAAAAAGTATCAGAAGAAAAAAAAAAAAAAAAAAAAAAAAAAAAACAGAAAATGGAAAGCCTTGGTTAGGTAAAGAACATCAGAGAAAAATGAAAAACTTGAAAAAAAAAAAAACAAACAAAAAAAACCAGCAACAACCAAAGCAATTTTTCATCACCATGGTAAACCTTTAAAAGCTTATTCAAAGTTGACATGGTAGATAACTACATCCTGGGGAGAACGGTCTAATCTAGATTTCTTTTTTGAGAAAGACAACAATTTCCAACAATTATCACTGCTAACACTGAATATAACTTCCTTGGCATCCAATCTATTGCTCGTTTGAAGAGCTCTATGAGTTTTTTGTTTTTTTTTCTGGCTTTCTTCAAACTCAGTCAACTATACTACATAAGCACACTCCTATCACATATTTGGTGTTTTCCTGACAAAAATGCAGTTTCATCTTTCTTCCTCTTTTCAGTACTTGTTTGAAAGAAATCAAACAAGCAAACTAATTTCTCTGCCTACAAGGAGGTTTCTTTGCAATTAAAAATAAAAAAATATCCAAACCAGAGGACAATAGCAAAATACTGTTACAGGATCAAACTAGATATTTATGGTATTAAATCTACATGCATTATCACATGCTTAGTGGCAGACTAATTGAGAGACTAATTCATTTACTACACATCATGGTAGAAAATACTGACAAAGTTGCAACACTAACCTAAAACATGGTCATAATTTCCTCAAGACAATTTTTCAACAAAATGGAGTACCACTGCACACTTCAAATTACAAAGAGACTTAGTTGGTAGAGCAGGCAAGATCCACTGCCAAACCCACAGAGAAGCAAGGAGACCCCCACAGGGAAGGAAAACAGCCCAATCTTCAGCTAAGAAGCTACTGCTGGGAAGGGCACAACTTTCCCCCTCAAGTTTTCCAAGTGTAGTTATCTGTGTGTGGCTCCCATGTATTGGGAGAAGCAAGCTCTGAAAAGTCCTGGAAGTATTTTATTTAAAAAATAGCTCTCATAAGTATCCTGTATGTGGACAACTAACTGTGTGAAAAAGAATTCTCTTAAGTGAAGCATAGCAAGCTTTTTATGAGGGCTGTCAGCTTCTTTTCCACCTCACCTAGTACAAAGTCCACACAAAAATGACATTTAGTAAGGTCATTAAAATTCAAGCAAGTGATTTTCTGAAAAAAAAAAAAAAAAAAAAAAAAAGTTATCTGAACCACTCCAAGCCAGAAGAGGGTATTTTTCTGTGCCAGGGTCATGGAAAACATGTAATTACATTCCAGTTGTTTTAAAGAACAGAAAAGAGAAACAACGATGAAGTATTATAGATTTATTTTAGCTATCAAATATGTGGATGTGCTCCCACTGTCACATAACGTTCATTAATGTCATATAATACTCATTAGTATGTCATCTAATATTCTGTGTTAAGCAAGCAAACAATTTAAACAATTTAAATTAAACAATTTAAATTGCCAGAGATGTTTTAGTTCAGTTCAATAGCAGAAATCCTTTTTTCATTTGAGAAAAGATGCTATTTTCTGTACATTTTCCCTACCTCCCCAATGACTATTTTACATACATAATAGCACAGCAACAATAAAAGTAGCAAGACAAAGCCTTTCCAATGCTTTTAGAAAGTCAGTGATATGAAAGGCAATTTTGTTTAAAGGTATGTGATTTCCAAACAGTGTATTGTTATCTGCAGAGCAAGTGTCCACAGAACTAGTAGTCCGTCACTTTTAATCACTGAAATTAATATCAGGTATTTGATAGTAATGTGAATGGACTAAATGAGCATGGAACCCCGTTGTCCTAAACACTGTGCAAAATACAATGTATCCCTTCCTCAGAGAATAACTGGCACTTCAGAGGGGACTGATTTTCCTCAGGAGAATAATCCTTGTCCGGCCTTTGCAGTCTCCAGTAAGCCACAAATCTATACTGGGCCAAGCCTCAGAAAATACTCAATACAGTGTAGTTCTCATTATTTCTGTTAAATCAGAGCATTCGCCAGGATCAAAGACCAACTTGAGTCAACTTGATATAAGACAAGCCATTTAGAGAAAAGTTGGTTGCACAGGAAGGTTAACTGTACTTTCTCATATTAGCTCTATCACATGGCATTTTCTATCCAAAAGAGGGTTTCCAAACTAACAGGGGTAAATAGCAGATACAATTAATAAACTGCACTTCGGAACAACAAGTTTCTTGATAAAAACTACGTATGTGTTTAGAAAGCTAGCAATGTCTCATGAATATCCTAGTCTGACTCAAGGCTTTTTAGTGATTTCTTTTAATGTTTTCTTGCCCAAGGGGATATTCCCTTCTGTGGAGTTGCATGGCAAGTTTCATGTCTTCAGTGGGGATTATTGTGCAGATTGGTTCTCTTCAGACAGAAAATATACCTTATCTTTTTCATGTCAAATTTTCATAATTATGGTGAACAGACAGTACCTTATGGCTAGATACAGACATCAGCATTTCTCACTCTCCCTTTGCTACATTCATGCAAAAGTTGTACGTTGCCCTCTTAAGTTATTTCATGCACAGTAGGGTTCATAATTTTGTCTGACACTACCTATATTTCCCATTCAGGCAGAGATGCTTTCTGGAACCATTTGTAACTTTTACTTTTAAACCTTAATTTGAATCAGTTCATCTTCTGAAATACCAATTCAGTTCCACAAGTTCCTCTCAAGCACTTGGCAAGCTTTTTTTTAAAAAGGTGTAAATAAAAAAAAAAGACTATAAACATTTATTCATATATACTTACCAATAGTAACACTCTGAAAGTCTTTAACAACCTCATTTTTAGAAATACAGTGCCTTCTGTTGAGCACGCTGCTAAAGCTCACCTCGTATACTGCAAATATATTGTAAATGTATAAACATTCCACCACTCCTCAGCTGTGCAAGCTCTCTTGAAATCCATTGCAAAATTCTTATTAATTCATTAAAAGCCTGCCTGCAGAAGTCTGTCTTAGTTACAAATCAATCACCAAGGTCTGCCTTTGACTGTTGCCTTTCATTTAAGCTAGGACATACCAAACAAAAAAAGAGAAAGAGAGAAAAAGTAAGTTCTGATGTATACACTTCTATTCAATTTTCCAAATAGCTGAGAATCCAATAATTCTTGCTAAGTGAAAAAGACAATCATTATTCCTTTTATTGTAAAATCATTAAGTTACGGTGAATACAACAAATTTTTTACCATATGAAGCACTGCAGTCTTCAGAGCAACACAGAACAAATACACTGAAATTTCATGTCCCAAGAAACTGTTCAAGCCTGAGAAAGCCTAGCTTCATATAAATACTTTGTGATTGATGGTTTAACATGAACAGACAAAATTCAACTAATGTGCAAATTATTCCCTTCAAACCAGAGATTAAAAGTAGCATGCTTTTACAACAAATAATATCTAGACATAAAACTGGAATTATGCACATTAAATTAATTATGCACGTTATGGAGCTTGTGTTGGGTTTAGCTTCTGTCTCTCAAGGTAACATTTTTCTTTACTAATTCTTGAGCTAATTTAATATCACTCATTATAAACCCTTCCACTGCAAATTCAGATTATAAGGAAAAGTAAATGAAATTATGCAGGACAGGATGAATATTATTTAGTAAAATATTTTATTCACTGAAAAATGATATCCCAAATTGGCCAAAATTAACCACAAAACTAATGAAGTTTAGTTAATGTTTCCAGTAAGAAATATTTTGTAGGAAACAAATGCATTTAAATATATTTTCTCATTTTCTATTTCAAAATTTTAATGTTAAAATTTACCAAATTTTATTCTAAAAGACAAATTGAAGAGAAAAGGAAGGGGAGAGGAAGGGGAGGGAAAGATCTAACTTATTTTCCCTTAGCAAACTTAATCGTGTGACTTGGCATTACCATCCCCAAACAACAATCAGTCAATGACTGAAGTCCCTCTCTCTTCCCATTCATCCACCCTCCTGTCTTAGCACTTGAAGCTGGTGTGTGTAAACGCTACTTGCAGGCTTCCCTGCAGAAGAGTTGGACAGCTTATCCATCTAGGAGCACTCAGCAGAAGTTTCTGAAGAAGGCTGTATCATCTAACCCAGATGTCATCTCTGAAAAAAAGAAGGAAACTAAGCTGCCGTGGTTGCTCTTCACCAGTGACAGGAGAACCATCAACCAGGAATTGGCATCTGTAACAGCAACTGAAGCAATAAAATGAACATACAGTGACAGAAAGTTCCCAGGCTTTTCACTTGGTGTACACTTACACACTGAATGCACTGACTGCTCTCTTTTTCTCTTTTAAAGTACATGAATTTCAAAGACAGACAGTACAGCTGCTTACAGCAGTGAAAGAAGGTGAGAAAATGATCTGTTCAGTCTCAAAGATAATTCCTTGCATGAAAGTGAACAAAATCAACAGTAATTTTTTTCCCAGTTTTAAGGTGTTTCTCAGATAAATGCCACCACAGGCAAATGCATATGCCTATCGCCAGGCTGGATACAGAGTATAGGGGGAAAAAAAAGAAAAAATAATAATAATTAAGAACTAGCCCTACAATAGAAAGATTTTCAAATAAGCAAGCATAGACATTACTGTCAGACTCTGTCGTATACTAGAAAGAAGGTGCTGATGATAGGAGAGCACAATGGACCTTTCCTTCTGGGCATAGCCAACTTCCCTGGTAAGATGCCTATCAACTCTGTGGCCCAGATCTTCAGTGTGTTGCCTGTGAATCACAAGACCTAGTACCCTGACAACAGTGATAAAGACCTGAAGAAGAATTTGGTCATCACCTTACTCTCACAGTCAATTTACTTCTCCATCTGGTTCCTATGGCTTCCCTGTCTGCATGCACCTATCATGACCTTTTAGGATGTGGAAGGAATACCTCTGCTGCCTTTTTGCCTGAGGCAGTGCATAAGAACAAGAAGTAGACTTCAGATATTCTTTTTGTTTACTCTAGGCTGAGTTGCTTTAAAAAGCAGGATGTACAGTTATGTCCCACTGGAAGAGTCTCCTTAAACATCAACAAAGATGTTCAATTTAAACCAAAAAAAAAACCTGCTAGCACAATATCTCTGAAGAAAAGTATGTTGCATAAAACAGTGACCTAGGCTGGATTTTACAAAAGCTTTCAGTAGAAGCTGATTCTTTAGTGATAATTAACAATAGTCTTATGAAGGATGACTCACCAAGCCCATGTGCAGTTCTCACACAGAAAACACTCCTTTGCATTCAGTCGTCACTGTGAAGGTGCAGTCATGCAAATTGTCCCAGCTCATCTTGGACTGAGGTAAGTAATTGCAATCAGAACCAAAACAGTTGTTAACATTTTTAATTGCTCAAGGGAAAATTAATCCATGACCAGAAAATTCAAGGTTTCTTGGCCCTTTCTCTGAATATTAAATACAGACTACCATCAATGGAGAACAAATTCACTGAACAGATTTATACAGAGAGATATTCCAATGTTCTTCTGCACTCACTCTCCTCCTCTGCCAAGATGCTCTCCTGATCTCTCTCAGCTGTATGCAATCTAAAATCCTGGCTTATCATTCTTCCTGCATGATTTACTAATTGAGATTTAAGAAGCAAGGTTTCTTCCCATATCATCCTCCCCTGTACCAATAACATTAAACCAAGTATTTAATACCATTGCTTAGATCCTAACTAGCCATTGCATAACCATGCCCTTTTGTCTGCTCAGCAGTCTGTGCTGCAGAAGATTTTGAATGTCAGTCTACAAGACTTTCTTATCAGTAGCCAACATGAGTGAAACAGGGTATAATGGAATATTCCGAACTGAAAGAAAGCTCCTTTCATTCAAAATAAAATAAAATAAATAAAATAAAATAAAATGAAGAACATCTCATTTTCTTCAACTGCCAGCAGAGGACTAAAAAGAAGCAGCAACAAACAACTATTCTTGACTGATCATCAGCAAAGAAGTACATACTCCTTTTGACCACTTCCTAATCAGCAGATTTCTCCAGTCATCTATTTTTTCCTCTGCTGTATCCACCTGAAAAAAGTTGTGTCTTGAAAACAATAGTGGATATGCAAATAGCAATTGTAGACCATTTCCTGGAAGTCAATCCACATACAGGAGAATCTTGAGAAAATTTATTCTGATTTTTCCAGAAAGACTTGCAAGTTAAGGTTCAGAAAAGCTTCTAAAATTAAGCTATAAACATTACAAAGTTTTCTGATGATTATAGTCTTGTTTTTAGTAAGCTGAGGAGAGGTTACTGATTTTGTAAATGTTGTTGATAATCCTACTGTTCAGGGCAATGTAGTCTGTATGTGGCAGAGAGAAATAGATTGGAGCTGAGATAAACTACAAAATACTGAATGATATCTAGATTAATAATTTATTGAAATGTAAAAAAAAATATATCTGTTTTCTTGTTTCCACAGAGATGACCAGAAGTGATATAGATATCAGTGATCAAGCATAAGCAGTGGTATAAATCTGGGTGAAACACATGCCTTGGAGCATTCTTCAACTAAGTAACTTCAAAACTATTCTGGTGTGCACAGTCTCTTACACAGTGGAAGTGTGCCGTGCACGAAAAGAACAGCATGATTCTGATGTTTATCTCAACACAATAAATATACGGCTTTTCATTAGTTTAGCCAGTTAGCAACTTTGTAAGTGACTCATACATAGAGAGAAATGTGTATTTTTTTTTGTGATGACCCATGTCAGTGGTGTTCATCGCAGCACTTGCCAATTTTGTATAGTCCATCGATGGGCACATTTTCAAATCTGGGAAAGATTTTATAGGAATATGCAAGTGGTACAGGAAGTATGAAACTGACTTCAAAAACTTCAAACTTGTGATTAAACAAACAAAAAAAAAAGCAATGTAGCAAAAGAAAAGGGAGAGAGAGAGAAGGAGAAGCATGGAGAAGCATCAAGAAGTTAAATTTTCTGATCTTCAGTCTCCCAGCATTTTTATTTATTTATTTATTTTATACAGGCATTAACAAGCATATCAGTCACTTCCTCAAGGTTTTGCATATATTTTGATACTTTAGTGTAGGAGATACTGATACCTTCACTGCTTTTTTTTTTTTCTTTTTTTCTTCTTTTCTTTTTTTTTTTCTTTTTCTTTTTTCTTTTTTTCTTTTTTTTTTTTTTTTTCTTTTTTTCTTCTTCTTCTACTTTGGACTTGAAAAACAAGTATCTTTATCCCTCGCAACTGCACAATATGTATTATGTTTATCTACTGAATTTATATCCCCTATTAACTTTTCATCTTTAGTTAATTCATGCAATCTTTCTTTGTGGGTCCTGTTTTCTAGACCTCTGGTCATTCTCATTGCTGTCCTCTGGACTTTCTCCAACTGGTCTGCATCTTTTCTGAAGTACAAGTCGGTAAGGTTAATGGAATTTGGATTTATGCTATTGCATAACTGATGCTCAGTTCTATGAGCTTATTTCACTAATGCTATTACACTATATTACACTATCCATAATAATATGAAATGTTTGCCTAAGAAGTTTACCTTTCTTTTTTGTTTGTATGGTGAATCCTCTGCACTGTGTTTAGAAATTATCTATAACTATCATAAGCAATGGCCATTCATTAAACAATAATCAGGAAGCATTTGGATAGCTCTTTCTGCAGCTGCAAAATTCAGTAGTTTGCAAAAGTGGTTAATTACTCACTTTCCTATGTGCTTTTGTTTCAGACAGTGAGGAAACCAGAAACATCATCCTGACTTTTGTACATTTCATCTATGTATGATATATTCCTGCATCCCAACAGAAACAAAATAATTCTCGATATCATATATCTCGATATCACATATCTCATTCTCAATTCTCGTATTTTCCCAGGTCTTTCCTTCCAATTCCCACAGAGACAGAAACTGAAAATATTTTTCTGCAAAACCAGCCCCTGGTAGCACTAATTCACATACTATTGAGTTCTATAACTTTAGTAGGTCAGAAGCTGTTATATCAGAAAAAAAGAGACATTTTTCACAATGGCAACTTTATCCTGTACTGTAGGACTCACATATGCTACAGATGTGTCTGAGTCTCAGTGAAAATGTACAGCTATTTGTTTACATTTTCTAACTCTGTTGGGTTCCAAAGATTTTATATGTAGCAGTAAGTTCTCCTCTGCTACAAATACTGAAAGGGTTGTTAGGCACTGGAACAGGCTGCCCAGGGAGGTGGTGGAGTCACCATCCCTGGAAGTCTTCAAAAGATGTTTAGATGTAGAGCTTAGGGATATGGTGTAGTGGGAACTGTTAGTGTTAGGTCAGAGGTTGGACTCGATGATCTTGAGGTCTCTTCCAACCTAGAAATTCTGTGATTCTGTGAAGAAAAAATCCTTTTTTTTTTCTTTCTGATATGAAGTTGGACTAATGAAATAAGTTCTTGTATAATATATCAATTCAATAGATCAGACACATTTTTCAAGTGTGAAAACAGCAGGAGAGAACCCTTTCCTGGGTCTTTATGTTATTTAAAGAAATCAGATGAATTGTTAACACATTAAACTCTCCATCAGACTAAAATAATGTATTTTATTTTTTTTTGGTCCAGGCTTTCTCAAAGCTCCTCCATCCCAGTTTTAAACTAGCATGTGCTTGATTTCCCCTAGATTCTTTATAATTTGAAATCTTTTAAAGTCTATCTGCTTGAAGGAAGCCAATCTAAAAAGAGGATTAACCCCATCTAGAGGGTCATTAAACCCAAGAATAATTGAAGACAGTTGATTTCTTGTAAACTTTACTAGTCTTTTCTTTGGGGAGCTACTTCCAAGTAGCCATTAATTGCTGTTAATTGGTCAGGAAGCAGTGTTAGACAGAACTGTTCAAATGATGTTGTAGAGTGAGAAGAGGGTACTGCTAGGTCTCCATTGGATGATGGACCCTACGCTATATCTTTTCTTCCTCCTCTGCTCATACTATGGGTAAGCATTGCTTCAAAGTCAAATGCCAGCTGGCTGCATCCCACTGTCATTATGTCTTTAAAGCTGTACTTCCCCAGAGCATGCTGCAGTAAAAGCAAAGGAGAAAAAGTGATAGAATGTGCTGGGGACAGCACAGTGCTACATTATGAGGAAAAAAAATGTTATGCTTCTTGCCAGGCTGTTCCTCCAAATCACAGCAACATCATCTCTCACTGCTCTGCTCTGTCTCCAAAAGAAAGGATGTTTCCTATCACTCTGGATATCACATTCAACCTTCCCAACATACCCTGGCAGCCCACAAACCATTCTAGATGCTATCACACAAGCAGACATCTACATTTCCCAAATACAGGCTCTGAGAAGGAAGGCTTTTATGTAAGTAAGAGGAGTGTGAAGTTGTGACCTTCTTATTTGTTTTGCTGATATTTTTTTTTTTCTGCTGTTAAATAACTTCACCACAATAGATTTCCCATGGTGATTAGCACAGATGAGTCTCCTCTTTCCTCTCTCCAACCACCCTCACAAGGCTGGGTGACGAACTTGCAGCCTTCTTTCTCTTGTGTATCCTGGTCTAGTTTTTGAAGTTAACACCTTTGAACATCTGAGTAAACAAAGAACAGTGCAACTTTTGTATTCCCACTGACTGGCATGCTACAGAGAGGAACAGACATCCCCATCCTCCTTCAGATCCATATTTACTGCAGAGAGAGTTACTAAGGACAGCAGAGATAGACTATTCAAATGTAAAACAATTTAGGTCTGGATTCTCTTCCTCACAAAATAGATGGTAGTTTTGCCACCAAACTCAGGGAAAGCAATTCTTCTACTCCAAATATACTCTCCTTTTCATTCTTAATTAATGTTGTCCAAAGGAAAAAGCAGAAAGAAAGTCACATTTCCTTCACAAAAGAAACAGGTATGGAGATATACTCATTAACAAGAACATTTTACAATCTTCAACACTCATGAAGATTTTAAGATTAAGCTATATCTTAATTCCCTTCAAGAGAAAAAATAATAATAATAATAAAAACAAATGATATTTGTGTAATCTTCGAAATTGATTTTTAGCATACTCAAAAAGTGATGCCAGGCTACTTTGTTCCATTGGTTCACATAGAGCATTTTCAGAGCGCTTATTAGATGTGAACCAGAACCTTTGGACACATACATAGTTTCAGAAATACTGTGCTTACTCCCTTAATAGTAGCAATTTATGTCCTCTCTGCTCTGTGGAGAATAGTATTACAGAACCAATTCCTTCTTACTTTTACTGTGGTTAATGAAATATTTGTCAAAGTTTATGTTCTCTAAAGTCATTTTAAAAAAATTCAGAACATTTCTGAGGTAATGTCTAAGAAAGCAAGGTAAGCTGCCGGCCTTACTCACATTCACCTTCTTTGTGCATATGCAGGCACAAATAATAATACAGGCAGATTGGCAAATGGATTCAAGATTTCATATGGAACACTATACTGCAATGTAAAGCACTTTTATTACATAAAAAGACAGAAAAAGCCACTGATACTTGCAATCTATAGC